AGTGTGTAGTCAGTGTGTAGTCAGTGTGTAGTTAGTGTGTAGTCAGTGTGTAGTCAGTGTGTAGTATGGATAAAGACACAGTGTTGTGTTTAGGTACCATGATGCTTTGCAGATTCTACTAAGATGACATCAGTGTCACACATTATTATTTTCAGCAGGAAGTCGCTCAGTTCTCAACTTCCTGCTCTGGCCATGACTTCAGCCCATGACTTCAGTCGTCATGGTTACACTGACTGGTCCCAGTGCAGCCAAACAAGATGGAGGAGTGAGATTGTGATTACGATGATTTGTTGTCTCTCCTCTTCCGCCCATCTCACCTTTCCTTTCTTATTTACATTATTCTGTCTTCACCCCCCCCCCCCCACATATTCTTTTATTAATCCATCACTTCACCTCCTCTTCTCACCTCCTACGTCTCCGTCCTCTCGTGTCTCCTCTCTTGTTTTGCCACCTTCTTTCCTTCACTTTTTATAGTTTCCATCCTCTTTTCATCTCTTCTTCTCTAAACCCTCTTAACCTCTCCCCCTCTCCCCCTCTCCCCCTGTCCCCCTCTCCCCCTGTCCCCCTCTCCCATTCTCCTCTTCTCCGCCCTCAATCTGCTCCTTTTCCATGGCAACATGGCAACATATGGGAATGGAGGATGGAGGTGAGACACTGGGGTGAGACATTCTGTCTGTCAGATAGTTCTCATCTTTATATACAGTCAGTGATCTCCTATATATGAATGAATGAATCAATGGATGGATGAATGGATGAATGGATGGATGGATGAATGGATGGATGGATGATAGATGGATGGATGGATGAATGGATGGATGGATGGATGGTTGGATGTACCTCTTGTTGAAGGAAGCAGGAGTCACGGTTGTTTCCTTGTCTTGTGTCTTCAGCTGGTGAAACAGAAAGCAGAGTTTAGATATCTTCATATTATATTAGTTCATCTGAGGGTTCGTGATAATCAGTGAATCATGTGATGGTTCAACATGTGATGAGCGACACACTGACAAATATCACGACACGTTTCCATCCCTGCTACGAAGGCTCCGCAAACACTGATATGTTCTGAACGGCTTTTTGATTTTAGCAATAAAGTTATATTCATTCATTCATTTGACAGAAAAATGATCCGTTATAATTTCAAATAAAATGTAATTACTAAGTTCAGCTCGATACAGTTTTCGAGGAAAGCAGAAGTGAGAACAGACATGTTTTTAAATATCAGCATTTCTCTTTCTGAGTAACATGCAATATCTGTCACTGAGCTCCGGTTCTGATTTCACTGATCGTTCACTGTCGATAAACTGGAAAATAATGTTTTAAAAACCTGGAGACGTTCAGCCTGCGAACACTGATCCTGCTTAACAACGAGCGACAGCCTCTGATCTTTACAATCGATTACACTGAGGAAAACATGGACGCTGAGAGTCCGATGTGAGCGGTCCCTTCATCAAAATAACACTTTACAACCTGAAAAGACAGCGACTCACTAAATGTTTAAAGTTCGCAGAGAGGAAGGGAGCAGAAGAGACAGTAGTAATGGTAGTAGTATTAACAGTACTTGAGGTATCTGTGAGTAAGAATATCAAGTAACGGAGTTGTAAACCACCAGCTGTGGTCCTGACCCACATACCTGTCAGTGAGCGTCGTCCATCACTTTATAAAGTACTTTCTGTAAAAGTTCAACAGCTGGAGCTTCTCACAGCGTCTCAACAATGTACCCTCAGTCGGCAGCAGCAGATTTACATACAGGAAGTTCACCAGTCACTTCCTCTTACTGCAGCTGCTCTCCTTGCACTTCCTCCATCACAGACTGCATCATGTTAGTTTTTCTTTGGTCTGGTGTGTTTTACCTGCGGCAGGTTGCTGTAGAGCTGTCGACCGCTCGACCGCAGGAGCCGTTGGATCAAAGAGGCGACGGCCGAGAAGATGAACCGATACTGATCCTGCAGAGAAGAGAAGAGAGAGAGGGGGGGATGATTGTTGTGGTTGATAGAATCTGTGAATGGAAAACGTCCTCAAAGTAAAAGAGGTTTTTTTATTCTGGATGTTTCAGTCGTTACGTGTCGGGTTGTGATGGAACCGTGTGTTTTTTATAATAGAGGATGATGTCACTGAGTTACATTCAGCTGAACAGACCCATTGATCACACACACACACACACACACACACACACACACACACACACACACACACACACACACACACACGGGTAAATCTGTGGTGAGCCACCAAACTGCAGCACAAACCTCATTATGAATATTCAAAGTCTTGGGTTGTGGTGTGTGTCTTTGTGTCACAGCTCCAGACCGACAGACAGACAAAGCCAGTGCATGTTTTGTTTTCTGTTGTGTTGTCGTTTTGAAAACTTAAATTAACGAGGATCTGACAATGAGGAGATTTTAGATCCTGGTTTTCAGCCTGTGGGCGTTGATTCACTTTTGGAGCGGAACTACAAAATGCGAGCTGCTATCAAAAGGCACAGGCCTGTCCTGCTGTCACCTACTTTAGTCTGGACAGCTGAGGGTCTCTGTCTCCTGAGCTCCAGGACGATCTTCATGATGCTGAAGTCGGTGGTGATTCTCTGCGGGACGGACGACAGACAACAGGTCGCTAGTCAGACACATTAGCAACATTAGCTTAATTATTTCCTTACAGCAGCACTTCAGTCGCCATTTTGGCTCATTTCACACACACCATTAATATTTACTGGTTCCTGAAGCTCCGCTCACACGGATACGCTGTAGTTTTAAACATCACTGTTGCTATAGTTACGTCTATCGTCCCCACGACTCTGGCGTTTCACAGCCTCTGAATCAGAGACTTTTATAAACGCTCATGTTAGTTTGAAAACTCTGTGGTCGCGTTTAAATCGAAACAGAAACTCATCAACATCAGTCACATGACTCGACCACCAGCTGTGAAGTGAGAACGTTCCTCACACTTCCTGTCAGTGGTGAAAACATGTTACACACTTACAGAGTGATCAGTGAACCCATGTGCAGCATGACGGGTGTTGTTGATGGAGATGTGGTGTGTTAGCATGTGTTACCTTGGTAACCAGCAGGTCATAGATGTAGTCAAGAGCACAGATGACTCCTGTCCTCCCACAGCCTGCACTGTATCACACACACACACACACACACACACACACACACACACACACACACACATACATTCACACACACGCAGAGGAGCAGATGCAACGTGCATGTTAACTGTGCCATCTTTAGCGAGTGTAACCTGTTGCATATTCACAACCTCCTGCTTTCTGTGTGAGTGTGAGCGTGTGTGTGTGAGTGTGAGCATGAGTGTGTGTGTGTGTGTG